ATCTCATTCTGGTCTCTGGCCTCTTTAGAAAAAGCTCTGCAATATAATCGGTCCAGTGAGGTTATTTACTGAACTTGAAATTATACCACATTAAAGATCAAATACATAATTTAGGCAGAAATAGACAAGGCTGAGTTAGCATTTTTTTTCCGAATGAGAAATTTTATCCTAAATATTGAGATTCAAATTTTAATTTGCTACAATTCAGAGTTTAATAAAGAAACCCTTACTCATTTATCTTTAGTGTTGAGGAAGATGACAAAGGTCACGTGAATGGCAGGCATGCATGTATACGAATAATGAAAACTTGCACCGTTTTAAAACAATCAAGAACTTTATCAACTTAAAAAAGAATACAGAATAATATAGGATATTTTACTTGACTTTTCCTCTCCATCTTTTGCCCAATTACTTACGTCTTCAGTGTTAGATCTGAATTGTTTTATAAGGCACAGAACAGATAGAAATTATATCTCTACCTACACTTTACTGGGGGTTAATTCATTAAACCCAGCTCTTTTTGCCAAAACCTGCAATTTCCTTGTCAACCCACAAATCCCATTTTAGCGAATAAACCCTTACTGCAACTATTTACAGCATGTAAAATGATTTGCTTTTGTTAACATCCCTGACAAAATATCTAGATCACAGCTGGGTTTCCTCTCTGGTAAAATCATTTCTACTAGAAGGACGAAGCATATGTTTTATGTAAAATTGCCTGTCTATAATGAGTTATACGAATATTCCTCTAGACCCTCCTAAGCTTATAATATTCTCAGAACGTTTAGATTTTTATTTTATTTAATTTTTTTACAACCGGTATGCTCCTTAGCCCATCTTTTTATTATTGTCCATAAGGGAAACTTCACAGAATTTATTAAGTAAAGGCTCAATGTAGAAACAGCTATTATTTTACAACTGAAATAAAGATGCAGCCTTTGTAGCCAAAGGAACATATGGGGTTTATTAGACAGTCATAGACAGATTAAGGCTTTGGGTTAACACTGCACATACTAAACTACTAGGATAGCATTATTCTGTATGTGAGTCTGAAAAAGAAAGTATTCTATGCCTGGAAATTAAATTAAAAGACATATGTATTAAATATGGAGAGAGAGTTCTGTAGGGGATGCAGGCTGATTAGATGCAAAAGGCTCAGCAGATTAATGATGGATAGTTTTTTCGCAATCAATTTTTTAAAATAAATTGCAATATTTTTAGCACAATTGTCATCAGCTACTGATACGTTAATTCAAGTCAATTGTTAGCATGTATAATTTGATATTTTAATTGGATGGCTATAACTTCAAAGAAATTATTTCTTCTAACTATTCCGCCCCAAAATCATAAAACATAACAGACTAAGATTCATTAAAAGACACTCACATTTAGTGCACTCAAGAGATTTATCAACAAGTGATGGTATAAAAAGAATGCTCAAGTTTTAATGAAATACACTTTTAATAAAAAATATTTATTAAACTATTAATTAAACTAGAGATGCAGTCAGAATGATATAAAAATCGGTATATCTTTACAAATGAATGCTGATTTAAACTGCTACCCACCCACCCCCGCGCACAGTGGGTTAGACAGAGGGTGAAGGCCTTAGCCATTCAGCAACTTTGGTGAATCACCTATTGGGCAGTGACTTTCAATCACTGCTATAGCAGTCAGAGTGTCCCATTTCTAGATCATCTCCTTGCAGAAGGTACAGTGATTTCCAATGACCTGTTCAGCCAACCATACTCATAGAGAAATGTAAAAACAAGATTTTTTGGTGTATATCACACCTCTGTGTCACTTAATCCAAATGTGTAACACGTGCCACACACAGTGGTACTTAACTTTTGTATAAATGATGCAGCTTCCCAAGTGGTGTTATCAACTTACCACCCCTCTTATTAACAAATCTACATACAAAATGTTGTATCCAGCTATGCATCTAAAGTAGGGATAAATAAACAATGCATAGTGAAGTATATCAAAATATAGAACTTTGCACTTTAGATGTGCATTCACAAGAAAATTCAAAGTTTTGTGCAAGAATTTGTTTCAACTTACTGCCAATACTTGACCATACTACGGGTGAGGAGGAGGCCAAGAAGGTTTCAGGCCCTCAGCCTGAACCAGTCGAGGCACACCAAGGCACAAAACTTCATATTTCCTTGTAAGTGCACATCTACAGCACAAATTTATTTTGTATTTTGATATACTTCACTATGTGTTATTTATTATCCATACTTTAGATGCATAGCTGGATATAAAATTTTGTATATAGACTCATAGAGAAGCCTTGAACTTCAATTTAATGTGATACCCATTACGTAAAAGAATACAGTTTTCTGGTAAGAATCATAAAATAATATTTTTTTTGGTTGCAGCCGACTGCAACCAAAATACCTTTAGACTAAAGTGAGAAATCACAATAAATTAAAAAATCTCTAAGTTAGCTCTTCATTCAGTTTGGCTACTCTGGCCATAAATTCACTTTGAATTCTCCCTTTAATAATAACCCTGTAAGTAAATTGCAACTGTTACCATAAAGATCCTTAACCTCCAACCGCCCCATAACCTAGAACGATACACACACCCTACTTGTACCTTTTCTTTAATTCAATTATAGAGCATGTATCCAGCTGATGTTTAGCTAAAATACAGTCGCAATGTGACTATTTTGCATAAATCCCTCTCAAATTATTAATTTAATAGAGATAAAAAAAATAAAACACAACCATAAAAGATCAGGGAGAGGAGCTATAAGCATTATGTGAGATTGTTTTCTCTATATGTTCTTAAAAAACAATCTGACCCCTTGCTCCTTGAGAACGTTTTGAACCGACTTAGCATTCCCTCCTGAAAGCTGTGTAAATGGAAATTAAGTTTAAAGTTAAGCCGCATGCCAATCCTATCAAGAACTGCTGGGCTGTTTAGCGAGCAACAAGAGTCCAGCATCTCTTTAATACAGAGAATATGATTAAGGCAATAAATGCTGTTCTATGACATTTGAGGAGTAAAATATTTATCAACTATATATTCTATTTCAACTTAGTGATCTAGAATGAGAGAGAGAAAAAACATTGATTGATCTACTTCATGTTTCATTGGGGTAAACTTTTCTTACAACTGAAACCAATTAGATGGCTTGGCTCTTGTAGAACACAATGTAGGTCAGCTTTAAGTAATAAAAAAGTATTGACTTTTCTCTGTCTGTAAGCAGCATGAAAGGGGTGCTGTGGCCTTATTGTACATGAATAGAGCTCCATTAATTTCACTTATTTCAAGAAGGGCTGTCAAGTGCTAATGCTTCCTGGGCACTTTTCACACAGAGTACATTGACACTATTGCTGGCCCCAGTGAACCACAGTTGTAATGTCTACAGCTGGTGAACGTGATCTGACCGCAATGCTCAAGTCCTACCGGTGAACTCGGACACCTTATGTGCCATTGTTTGGGACACAGAAGCCTATTCACTAAGCAGAGAGGATATGGTGAGCTTTCAGTCAACTGTTAACATTCAGAACAAAATAAATCTTTTCTTACAATTGAAATAATTTTTTTCTCATTAAATTACTTGTCAAGACTCTACAAACCAACGTTAATGGAACCATTCAATTGATCACTTGAGATAAGTATTCATAGTGGAAATCTCACAGTTTATTTAGCTGATTGTGCAACCTTTAACTGGGATATGAATGAGTATCTCTGAAATCTCATTTTTCTATAGATTGTGCTAGCCATATGGCTAGCAAATGTTTAGATGAGCAATTATTCAAGAATACTCTGCATGCAGGACAGATATATATGTAAAGTGTCATATTTTTATTCACAGTGGTTTATTTAAAAAAATGCCACTTTTTACCAAATAAACAACTGTATCAGTGAGGCTATTAGCGAGGCTTTGCAACATAGGGAACTGATATTAGTAAGTATAAAATCAGGAAGGGAAGGAATTAAAGCATAATGGGTCAAATGAAATCTGGCGAACAGGGCTTCATTCACAGGGGTAATAGCATAACTGAGCTGCTGAGGTGCGCAACTTAGCTGCGCACCTAATCCAGACTTATGGGCATGTGTTTGTCCTGCATGTGTGTGAGTGAGTGGGCAGTGTGTGTGTGTGAGTGAGGGGGCGGTGCAGTGTGTGAGAGGTGTAGTGTGTGAAGGGTGCATAGTGTCTATGATGTGTGTAGGTGGGTGAGATGTGAAAATCTATACAAATGTCTTCCCCCTCTCCCCTTTTACCAGGGAGGGAGACATAATGCTGCAAGCCCTGGTGGTCCAGTGGTGACATGTTCACTTTAGCCTGCAGCTCCTCCGGCTGTAGGCTGACTCTCCTGTCCCTCTGCGATTACAGCACTGCATTGCCATGGTTACGCGCAGCAATATTCTGACCAGCCAGCTTGCGGGAGGAACACAGAGCCGCAAAGTCCCTTCCCTCCCTCTGTTGAAACAAAGTGCCAGCGGCTGGTGAGGGAGATCTTTGATTTCTTAACCAGCCTGAGAGGGCTTACAGCAAGGCTGGCTCTGCATGGGTCAGCAGGGGAGATGAAATGATATCCCCTGCCGACCTTGGTCTACGGCCATTGAGGAACACTGGGCTTTTTCTGCAGAACCCACCACCGCCCACCTGAAATCCCAAACCAAGTTGACTAGCCATGCTCTAAAGGCACCTTTATCGGAACAAAGTAAACACTTCAATGTTTCGACCCACACAGGTGTCTTATTTTAACTGGAGCCACAAGTCTATGGCATCAATATGTAAACTGTAATGTGCACTGAAATCACACTCACATACTCACAGTTGATGTCAACAGCCTCGAACAAACACAAGAAATACATATTAGCAACATCATGTGGCAATTACAAAAAAAAAAACCAAGACAGGTAGATATCTAGATCATGAAAAATAAATCACGTCACTCTACTTTTAGTGATGTCGCGAACCGTTCGCGAACTTGCCGCGAACGGTTCGCCATGAACCGTTCGCGGGAACTCCGGTCAGCTGACACATCCCTGCCATCTCCGGCAGACCCTCCCTCCATTTCCTGGACAGCATCCATGTTGAAGCTGCCTTCAACATGGATGCTGTCCAGGAAGTAGGAGGGTCTGGGAGGGAGGGTCTGCCGGAGATTGGCAGGGATGTGTCAGCTGACCGGAGTTCGCCACGAACGGTTCTCGGCAAGTTCGCGAACGGTTCGCGACATCACTATCTACTTACAGGTTTTGGCAAGTGTAAAATCGGGACAGAAGAAGGGTAGGGGCAGTGTTGGCATGGGCCATTGTAATGGATACCACATATCTCAGCAGTACAGTTTTGAAGACTTCACTCCCTGGCGGTATCTAACTAGGCTTTGGGGTACAACTATAAATGAGTATGTGTCAACAAAAAATAGATGGTATGGAAGTGCACAAAATTGAACCACTTTGTCGTTTGGCAAAATATTCTTAACATAATTTTCGGCTACAAATGGGCCTTTTGTTTGTGTGCATATACAAGGTTTCCTGTGTGTGACAAGTGAAAATACTAGTAATTAATCAGTATCTTCTGCTATTACTTACATTTAAATATATAGGTTTAACTAATTAAATTGCTAAAGGCAACTGTATCCTCGTAATGAAAAATAATTGTATGCATCAGACAGAATATCAGTCTCTTATAAACCACACAGTCTCAGCTCTAACCGTATGGAATCATTAACCATGTCATAATTTACTATCATTGAGTGGCTAACCTGAATTTTCTCAACACAAAGCATGTAATTCTGCATGACCTTACAATTTACATTTACATTAATGACCTATGAATTTTGCCTGCATATATATCATGTTAATTAGATGATTGTAACAAGAGCAATATCACAAATGTAGACCATATAGCAAGTTAAAACAAATCACTTTAATCATATTAGGTTAGCTATTTTACATACAGAATGGATTTGTCAGCAAAACAAGCTTGTGTTAGAAGTTAGTTTTTAATTTGTGTACATGGAAATGACAGCTATAGGAGTGGATCACTCAAGCAAGTATACTCAATAGGCTCCCCAGAAAAAAAAAATAGCAAAGGAATAAAATACAAGAACTTTTGTTTGAAATTTTTTATTTTCATGCTCTTAAAGGGACTCTCTAACGTTAGAAATACAAACATGTATTCCTAACGTTAGAGCAATCTAGGGGCTATTTAAATTAGTGGTCCCTGTCCCTAAATAATAAAATAAAGTTTTATCATATCCTGTCTTGTTTGTTAAATCTCAAACCCAAAAAATAAATATTGTCAAAAAATCTAATAAAGTTCTATGACTTACCTTCTATCCCCCCGTGCTCTGGTCTTGCCATGGCCGCCTCTCTTCTCCTGGTTGAGATCATCATCACTGATACTCTCAGCCAATCCAATGCTTATCCATAGGAATGGAGCTAGTGTGCACGTGAGGCAATCAGTATCTCCTCATTAAACGGCAGAGATTACACACTTCCGTGTTGTCATCGCCATTCATTCTGTCAGAGGGAGTTATGATAGGCTAAGAGCAGTCATCTGACACTCTCAGCGAATCACAGCTGACGATTGCTGCTCAGGCTAATACTCCTCATTAGCCAAAGCAGCACAGAGGGGATAGGGTGCTGGCGACTCATTTAGCATTAAAACATAAAAACATTAAAAACTATTTAATGCTGAATTAAATGATGGTACCAGGGGACCTCAGACACCATAATCAGATTCATTAGATGAAGAAGATATAGAACCTACAGTGACCCAGATGTACTGACTTTATGCATTTATATCCTCCTGAGATTCGAGGAAAAAATTGTCTTCCAATATGCCATCCATTTTTGATGAAAATGAAGAGGAAGTTTCCAGCATCCCAGCCTATCACATGACATATCACTGGAAAAGCCCAGAATGTCCGCTTTACAATACAGCAGGGATTGATAGAGTAGCTCAAAATAATAAAAGGAGATGCATGTGAACGAAATGTCCAGTTCAGAGGACACAAGTTAATGGGCTAGGTATCAGGAAGTTATGGGAAATGTTTGGTGCCTCTATGCTGAGTGTGGAAATGCTAAAAATCAGTAATGCAAAGATTGCAGGACTGTACCAGGAAGCCCCTCAGGTGGTTGTGTGAGTGACAGCCACTAGAGGGGGCATTAGGCAGGAAAGTAAACACTAAGTAAGATAAGCAAAATAAATCAAAGAGGTATATCAGTAAGAAAACTAATTTAAAAAGGTAAGGAATTTATTACTCCTCCCTTCCCTCCAAAAAAAACAAAATTACCCAAAAGTAAAGTGAAAACTATACAGGGGGATTCCAGTATATAAAGAGGGAGAGACAAAGGGACTAGGGAGGACTAAATGCAGAAATAGTAGGTATTTGAGAAGTACTGTTACCAAGCAAAATAATTACAGTGATAAGGTTATTTGAGTCTCAAACCTAAGAACCTACAGAAGCACCGCCCTCTTCACAAATCATAAGATTATAGAAGATACCTTGGCTTAGAGGGACACTATTGTCATCAAAACAACTTTAGCTTAATGAAGCAGTTTTGGTGTATAGACCATGCCACTGCAGTCTCATTGTTCAATTCTCTGTCATTTATGAGTTAAATCACTTTGTTTGTGCAGCCATGTGGACACCTCCCTGCATGTGACTTACACTCCCTCTGCTGCAAATCCTGTTAAAAAAAAAAAACTTTTAAAGTAGGTTACATCTGATGTAAAATTAAATGATTTTGTTTTATGCAGGCTGTATCAGTCTTAGCCATCCACAACATAGTGATCAGATGCCATCCCATCAAAATGAAAACTGTGGTCCGACGTGCATTTTGGAGCATGTCAAGAAAAACCTTCAAGTAAAATATACCCAATTAAAAAAATAAGTTCCTGGTGTATTGTTTTCAGGTTTGCTTTGCCAAACAAGACATTTAGATCCTAAATCAATAACTCACACAAAATTAGTTATACAAAATTTGAATTCCTAGTACTCTGGATGTACATCTAGCAACAGACTTTAAGAGGGCAGAGAATAACCTTTTTTTGTAGTAAATATTTCACAAATTATGAACCTAATCTCTAATAGATATAGTTTCCCATTTTAGGCTTATTTCCATGCTCACATAGTCTGTCTATGAAGAACTCACATGCACCTCCACCAATACTGACCACAACAGTATAAAACTAAGCAAAAACATAATTTACAGGGATGTAAATGTCTTTATATCCCAAAAGAACCAGGGAATGACCATCACAACCCTATCAGATATGTTTTTGTCCCATTCAAGAAATGGGGGCTCATATTGCATTTCCCTTTCTTTACTGTCCACCAATAGCAGAAAAGGATATAAACAGAATGAAAAAACAATGAACATACAGTAACATAGGCCCCTCCCTTCACAGGTCCCAGTATAATAGGCAGCACTTCCCTTCCATTTCCCTCTTTCTTTGCAGCTCCAAAGATAAGTAACAGCTCACATTTTTTCTCTCATAGATTACTTATTTATTCTGTCAGTTATGGTAGTTAATTCTGCTCTTTATTGTCATTTATTGTTCTATTGTTTCTTCTTTTTTGACAGATTCAATACTATTCTTTTATTTGATTCTATTAAGGAATCTTTTCTCCTCAGTTTATCTTTTTATGTTTATTATATGTGTGTATATACATATTGTTGTCTCCCAGGGTTCCAGACCTTCTGTGTGAAATATCTATCTGTGCACTCTCAGTTTGGCTTTTCTATGATTTGCTCTTATCTCTTATCTCTTTTCTTGCCATCTCTCCTCTCCCTGTCCTCTGGTGCCATTTTGCGCTGCTTTCTCCGTTCTGTTCGGCTGTTTTGTGCATGAATTTAGCTGTCCGGCTAAATTCACGAACACAGACCATTTGTTAGTTTCACCGGCATATAGCAACATTCGCCTATTTGCTGCGTTCGACTAATTGGTTCGTGCGGTTTACTCGTTCGTCTGTTTTTACATTCGTCTGTTTTATTCACATGAATTCGCCTATTTTACCGCATGTTCGGTTCTTTTCTATTGACAAATTCACTGGTTTTTGCTGCAAATCTCGCGGCGGACATTTTCTGTCTTCCTGTCTCTCATTCTACCTCGTGTGTGTCTGTGTGCCTCTGGTCTGGACCCTGGTGAGATCCCTATCATTATTTTTTCCCTATAGTTTGGGTGAATAACCCTTACTACCCTGTAAACTCACTAGTAGGAATATTGAGCTGCATCCAATAGGCCCAAACCCAGGATGCCTTCCAGCTCACGACCCTCTGGGGTGATAGATGCCCCTTTACCTCTAGGAGAGACCCCTGTCATCTATGACACGCCATCTACTCTGGCAGATGGACCCACCCAACCTGAAGGGGACCAATTCTTGGCGCTACAGCACTCGATGACAGATGCCATTATGACAGCCATGGGGTCCATGTCTTCTACCCTCTCCCATACCATCCTGCCACGTCCTTTGGACGCGCAAATGTCAGGTTCCACGACGCCTCTTCTGCGTCCCACTGTGGACCTGTCTGAAGGCGCACCCAAGAAGGCGACCCATAAGTCCAAACAACCCTCTGCCTCCAGAACTGTTACGACTGGCGTACCTACGGTTGCCCCAGAAAGCGTGTCCCACTCACACAAAAGAGCCTTTCCGCGCCAGGCAGAACGGGCGTGGCTATGGAAGTGTGCTAGAGCACAACCTGAGAGTGACTCTGACTCAGAAATTGGGTCAGATGAGGAGGCTATGATTGAGTCGGATGACGACTGATATTGAGACCTCCTTCCCTCTGCTCAGGCTGAGACGTCCGGAGGTGATACGGGAGCGCTTCACCCCAACTGCGGGGTCCACCCTCTTGGATCTGTTGGGCGAACCTCTCTTCGACCCGGATGAGATTCACCATCCGAGGTCGGCGGAGTGGCTCCCAGCAGACCATGTAGCCAGGTACCTTGAAAATTGAGTACGACGCCAACTCAGAAAAGCAGCACGGAACAAACCGAGGGCAGAGTGCCCAAGGCCTATGGTGCCAAATAAGGTCTGTGATACCCCTGAAGTTGATCTGAAAATGACCCAGTTCCTAACTAAATTGGGCTGGAACCCACGTAAGGGCCTAGACTCTGCCCTGAAAGCATACCAGGATAAACATTTAGACATATTTGGCCCACTGGCAAAAC